GCTCAGGTCATGATCTCCAGGTCCTGGGATTGAGCCCTGGGTCAGCGGGGAGTGGGGAGTCTGCTTGTGGATTCTCTCTCCCTCTCCCTCTGCCCCTCCCCCTGCTCCTGCTCTCTTGCTTTCTCTCTCAAATGAACAAATAAATCTTTATTTAAATTAAGAAAGAAAGAAACCTCAACCCCCAATTCCTTGCCCCAAAATCACAAGGCTTAAAAATATAGGCACTGACAATTATTCAAATGGTCTTCACTGTGGGACAGCCATTAACTCTAGTGCCCCCCACACCCCTTTTCTTCCCCACTCGGTCCTTTTAGTCACCATGAGAGCTGTGGGCAAAAACCATAGGAAATGAAACCCAACCCAAATAGTCTTCTTTATTTTTTATTCTGCTTATGTTTTATGCTAGTCACCATTTTGCGAAGGTCAGGTGAAAGAAGGATGGGAAAAGTGGACAGTGGAAGCCCAGAGAAGAACTATAGCCTTCAGACTTTATGTATGTTCTCCTTGTTCGCCAATGTTGAGGGCTGATGGTGATGTGTTTTTCCAGGACACCACCAGAACATGTTCTGAGTAACATGTAATTGAATGAATGCCTGGGCACCAAGTACTCTTTTTTTTTTTTTAAGATTTTATTTATTTGACAGAGAGAGACACAGCAAGAGAGGGAACACAAGCAGGGGGAGTGAGAGAGGGAGAAGCAGGCTTCCCGCCGAGCAGGGAGCCCGATGCAGGACTCGACCCCAGGACCCTGAGATCATGACCTGAGCTAAAGGCAGACACTTAACGACTGAGCCATCCAGGCGCCCCCACCAAGTACTCTTTCTATGAAAGAACACGGAGGGCTAGAGGAAGTTGGAAGTGAGCCCACAGCACCAATGGGGAACTGAAGAGCATTCATTTATTTCCATTTCAAACACATACAATGCACAAAGTTAGGTGCTATAAGAAGACTTCCCTAAAAGAGCCTTAATGGTAATACTTGAAGAGAGGTGCCTGATACATTTAAGAAGGTCTCTGAGAGATTCTATCTATGGAAGACCATCTTTTTTTTTTTTTTTAAAGATTTTAAAAATTTACTTATTTGACAGAGAGAGAGACAGAGAGAGAGAGAGCACAAGCAGATGCTTAACCTACTGAGCCCCCCAGGCACCTCTATGGGAGACCATCTTGAATGTTCCTAGAAAGAGTCAGCTGACCTGAACATGCTGTCAGCCCTTCCAACTATTCTAACAGCTATCCTCTTCCAACTTTTTTATCTACCCTTCCAAATAATAAGAAGCCATGGGATTGGAACAACAATTGGAAATCTGGGAAATGACTCTCCCAGACTAGGAGTGAATAGACAGAATTATTATAAGAGTTGGACAGGAGAAATCTTCCTCCATAGTTAGACTGACAAAAGTCAGTGTATTCGTGTTTGTGTGTGTGTGTGCATGCGCACACACAGGTGTACATGCATGTGCTCATGTTCATTTGGGCTAGCTTCTTTTAAATTTTAGAGACCTTCTCTTAAATTTTAGAAAATTGTTTTCCAATTCTTACCAGTATAAGATATCCTAATAGCAGTGACAGGAATGTTTGAAACCTTTAAAGACTTGGTTTGAAGAAACTTGAAAACTTCATCACTAAGATCTTCAGTGGTCAGTTTCTGAAGAACCTTTCTTGCATGGGGCCCTGCAATACCAAGGACTCCAAGTTCATCGGTTATGTTTTTAATTTCAACATCATATCCACCGTTGACTGCCTCTTCTTCAATCCATCTGCATTTGAGTCATAAACATTGTGTTAAATCTTGCTTGAATAATGCATGTTGGTGACATATTAATTCTCTGAAGACATGCTCTGTGTCTAGAATTACCAGGAAGTCCCCAGAGTGTCATTTTGTATAATAACCTAATTTTTTAAGTTGAGGAAACTGAGTCCCAGAGATGTTAAGTGATTCTCTTTAAACCACCCACTTATAAATTTGGGGATAATTTTTCACAGTAGAGAAGGATCCTTCAATTTAAACCTGCCACATAATTCTTTTAAATAGTGACAGCCCTATTGCATTTAAACTAAAGATTCAATCTTTGAGAATTAATTTAAACCCAAATTTTCTCTAATACCTATACATGGGAGGCACATTTGTGCTGCTAAAGGTTAATAATGTGCCTGCCACCAGACACATAATTGCTTTGATGATCAAAAGGAAACAATACAAACTCTAAAGACTAGTTTCAATTTCTAAGTCTTGATGAGTTATTGGAACCCAGTTTTAGGGTTTGTTTATAATTTATTGAGAGTCCCTGGAGCTACATAAAATGATCATCTAAATTTACACAAAGCTAAGCTACTAAGATACATCTTGGATTGGAGGGTATAATTTGCATCATTTTACAATCATAGTGAGAATCTCAGAGTAAGACATTTATTAAACAACAGGATTCGAAATATTTTTGGAATATTAAAGACTACAGATTTGATAGTAGACTAAATCATAGACCAAAGACTCATGTGAAGGATTGACCTGGCAAGTCAACGATTTAAATCTAGCTTTGGGCCAGAGAGCACAAAGCATGAAGAAGGAGGAAGATAACCCAGGGAGGCAGCTTACTGAAGTGGACTGAACATGGGCATCAGAATCAAAAGGAGTGGCTTACGCAAGTTACTCTAACTCAAACTTCAGTTTTCTCACATGAAAATGGGAATAATATAGACCTTGCAGATATATCTATTAAGAGAATTAATTGAGATAATGTCTAAAAAGAGTTCTGACACATTGATGATGTCTAATAATTGGGAGTTAATGTTTTTAGAACCAGCAAACCCTATGGATGGATTACCTTTGAGGGGTGTGGGGACAGGGTCCCTCACTTCAAATAATTTCCTATAAAAGACATGAAATTTATTTGAAACAATAAGGTTTAAGATTAAAGTTGTACTTTAATTGGTAAAAGAAAAGCGCACTGCAAGATTGAGTCAGTATATAATCCATATAAAATTTTCTTATTAGGTGCATACTTACCTAAGATCGTGAAGTTCGGATCCAGAACCAGTTATTAGTAAAAACTCCCCAGGAGTTTGGTGAGAAACAGTCAACTCAGCATACACTCGACCTTTTGGTGTCAACATGTGACTTATATTTGTAAAACCCACCTACACAAAAGAATTAAAAATTACCTCAGGATGCAATTAAAATCTTATGTATCCTTTTAACACAACATGGAAATAAAAATGCAAGTGTCAACAATGAAAAACGTTTGAATCTTACCATTTATATCAATTGTGTGAACTATCTTTAAACCTAGACCCAAGATTAATTTTGAAGTTCTTAGATTCAATGATAATTATAACTATTTGTCATAAAAATTACACTTGAGTCAATTTTGCAGTTCCCTACTGACACAATTTAGCAAAGTCATAAGGTCCTTGGATGATAATTTGTTCAACAAAATTTAAATTAGAAAATTAGCTAGAATATTCATGGTCAGTTGAAGAGCTCCGGCATTCATAGAAAAATCATTAGGTGGACTAAAATAACATACTAATTAAAAAAAAATATGAGAGGACAGAGAATTAAGCAGAGCAGAATCCTGAACCTTGTACCCATATAAGGTTATTTACCTTTGGAATGACATTTGCAAAGAGATGGTCCAACAGTCGAACAGAGTCTTGGCCTTTGATGTTAAACTTGCCAAACGGTGACAGGTCAATAACCCCTACTTTTTGCATAACCTGTTTATACTCAGATCCTACAGGCTCAAACCAGTTTGTGCGGCAAAAACTGGGCCTGAAACACAATGTTTGTCATAAAACAGCTGTCATTCATTTTCAAAAAAATTACAGAATATTTATTAAACACTGTTAACCTAGAAAATCCCATTTGGGAAAAAAAGTACAACCCAAAGTTCTGTTCTGTAAATCATACACATATGGTAGAAACTGATTCTTTAAAGGTACTCTTCTATTCCTTTGACCCATTTTGTAGTGAACGACATAGTATTAATTAACTAGAAATTAAGTTAGGACATGTGGGCTCTCAGATCTGGAAGAAAGCATAGAAGTCTACCAGTACTGAGTTTTTTGATCTTGGTTGCATATTAGAATCACCTGGGGAGCATGTAAAAAATATCACATTTTTTTGGACCTAATTAAATCAGAATATAATGGGGTAGAGCGATCTTGTCCAGTGCTTCTGGATGCAATTAGAAATCACTTGCACTTGTTAAAATGCAGATTCTAATGCAGCAGGTCTGGGGTGAGGCCCTACACTCTGCATTCTAACAGGTGATGCTCATGCTGTTGGTCCATACCCAGAATAAGCAAGGACTTGGTCCAACATCTTCATTTTTCAGAGAAAAGGCATAAGGTGTTTTCCAAGGCTTTTGTCTTAGTAAATGACGGAGCTTGGCCAGGAACAAAAGTCTACTGACTCATTCAGGGACCTTTCTACTTGATAAAGTTGACTTCTAATGTGGTATTTTAACCACAGAACAGACAACTGTCTGCTAAATGAGTTTTCAGTTGTTTAATTATTAAAATAATAGAAGAAACAGGTCAGATCCAAAGAGCAAAGGTGAAGAACAGATCGGGCATTTACCTGAGTCATTTAGGAAAAACCGAACCAGTATTTTGCCCCCAGATATTCTAGACCAACTGTCTACTGAGCCCAAATTCATTAATCAACAACTGGGCCTCTACTATCCTTTATACCATTTAGATCTGGTCTTAAAGTAGACATCAAAACCTGCTTAAATAAGCAAAATGACAAGTCCAAAAAAGAGTGAGTGAGAGATAACAATTTCTACATTTGCTATTTGTTTTCTCTTGGTTTATGGATTCTTATGAGAAAAAATATATAATCACTATTAATCCCAAATGACAACAATGGTGTGTAATCCAAGTACAACGATGGCAACAGCTTTAGAGGAATTCAGAGAATTGTTTAGTGGGATGCTTTATGCTTTAGCTTAATGTCAAATGCTAAGGAAATGATCTTTCCTCTTAATTTATCAACAGTACATATAATTTACATGACTCACTGCACACACACTAGAAAGCTGTCGCTATGAGCTCTTCCTTGATCAATAGAAAATCCATATTGCCATACTATTTCCATTAGATGGGATTTGACTAGGCATCCTAAACCAGGACACATCTTTAGGAGCCAACTGAAGCCAGGTGGGGATGTAGAGGGGATGGGGAAGGTTCCTCTGAGCTCCTGGAAAATGCCAAGTGGAGGCATCACCTGAGCTGGCTGTAGAACTCTGGAGGCCACAGGGGTCCTAGATGTGAGCCAATGTCACATGGGATAGACTAACGCCTCCACCGCCAGAAAATAAGTTTTGTAGGAAAAGGCTCAATGCTCTTCGGAATGGGGTGAAGTGACTTGCGGCAGGGGACAGCATTTCTCTTATGTCCTTCCATTCCATCTCCAAAATTTCATTCTACATTCGGAGCCACAGGCAGGTTATGTCATTCACTTACCTGTACTGAGTGTCCTGGCCTGGTTTGTAGAACCAGTGTGGCTGCTCCCAGCCTGCATGGAACCCCATGGAACACTTAGACTCCAGGGTTTTATAAAGCCCACTGACTCGCTGAGTCGGCCTCCCGGCGAATCGTTCTTCTTTAGGATAACCAACTGAAAAAGGAAAACTATACCTAAATAGCACATAACCAAAACTATAAACAATTTTGAAGGCACTCAAAAAATAGAAAACACAGTTCTTAACATCCAGAAGCATATATGTGTATGAAACTTATGTAAAAGATGGTAACTACACTTCTTGTGGTGACCATTTCACAATGTATACAAATGTCAAATCGCTATGTTGTATGCCTGAAACTAACATAATATCGTAGGTCAACTACACTGCAATTTAAAAAATAATGTAAAAGGGCACCTGGGTGGCTCAGTCAGCCAAGCAACTGACTCTTGGTTTTGGCTCAGGTCATGATCTCAGGGTCCTGAGATGGAGCCCCAAGTCAAACTCTGGGCTTTGCGCAGAGTCTGCTTGGGACTCTCTCTCCCTCTCCCTTTCCCCCTCCCCCTGGCTTGCTCACTCGCTCTCTCAAATAAATAAATCTTTTTAAAAATTTATGTAAAAAAACCCAAATTGTCATTTATATAACAATCCAAGGATAAAGTAAAAGTGGATTTAGAACTTAAAATCGCTGATGCACTCTACACATTAAATATACACGTTCATATAGATTCCTTGTTGTGTCTTAAAGGCATAGTGCTTATTAGAATCCCTAAGTACTCCTACCACAATGCACAGAATAGCAAGCAACTAGAATCAGAGGCACTGCAAGTCAATTCTGTACACACTTTGTAGACAATAGTAAATTTGCACGTTACCAATATTGTTGAATCCATATGACTCTCTTGCTTTGGCCTCAGTGTACTGAGTTGTTGTCCATTTGCCATAGCGATTGGGATCCAATTCTATCAGATCAAATGGAGGTTCTCCGTGCAGGATCCAGTCACTGAGATATTTCCCTACCCCACCAGCATGGATTATGCCGTATCTTTCAAAATACAGAGATAAATACAGTTATTAACATATGTAGTTTTCAGATAATGAAACATGTCCAACTATTTTACAGGTCCTCCAAGTTGGAGTGTTCTGTGCTATTTAGAACATTCGACAACATAATGTAGTTTTTTTCCTCAAAAAAAAAATACATGTTTAGGCATCCAGATTAAAGGGACCTGACTTGATAGCTAGTTTGTTTCCATAGTTTCAAGAGATGCACACCTGCAAAATAGCCTACAGCTCTTAGCTAGGAAAGAGGCTCACTTTAGGAAAATGGAGGAAAGGAAACAAAGGGGAAGGCTTAGTTGTTATCTTCTCAGACCCCTGGAGCTAGGATTATTTTGAGTGATAGGAAGCTTGCAGGAGAAACTGTACACTGCCCAGGGGCACATGCATCTCTTCTCAGACTCAATTTAGTTCAGGCCCCCTTAGGCGATGACCTCTGTGCAGGGACCTGGAACCTTGATCTCAGAAGCATTCAGAGCAAGAGGCACTCAACCAGGGACTTGTAGGGAGGAGAGGGAAAGGACCACTCTCCCTTGTATTTTGCAACGAATGGGTCACTTGGTGGCAAGGTGGCAAGGGTAGGCTTGTTTTCTATTTCTATATGATGATGCTTTAAAACTAAGAACATGACTGTGGCAGATAATTGGATCTGAGATGAAGGAATCACAGTTTTACACTGGCTGCATGCAGTTCTACCCACTCACTCTAGTAATGAAGGACTTTCCTGTAGGTTTATCTGTGGTTTAGGTCAAGAGAAGCATCTGAGTAATTGGATGAGCGGAAAGTCATGGGCGAATGACCAAGAAAAGGAGCTACATGAGCAGACCTCAAAATACCAGAAATTCCAGTATCCCAAATGGATTCTAACAGCCAGAATCACTCTGAGAGCTTGGGAGAACCTTAGCAAAGACTATAAATGTTAACTAACTTTCCCCACAAGATACCAGTTTGGCTATTTTATAAAAATGAATGACTGGAGCGCCTGGGTGGCTCAGACGGTTAAGTGTCTGCCTTTGGCTCAGGTCATGATCCCGGGGTCCTGGGATCCAGCCCCACATTGGGCTCCTTACTTGATGGGCAGCCTGCTTCTCCCTCTCCACCACTTGTGCTCTCTCATGCTTTCTCTCTCTCAAATAAATAAAATCTTTAAAAAAAAAAAAAAGAATGACTAAAGTTGTTATGAGGATATTTCTCAAGTAGAGTAAGACGGCAATAATTTATACTTCTCTGAATCATTTTAAAAAATGACATGGGTCATCCAAATCACCCATAAACAATTTCACTAAGTTTCAAGAAGGCAATAAAAATGATTAAATATATGCTTAAAATTCACTCATCCAGTGGTGTTGCTTGGGGGGCATCCATACTTGCATTTTGTATTCTTCATATGTAATAATATTGTCAAAGACAAACTATTTCATTGCGTATTGTAAACACTTTTTCACAGACCCCCCCCCCCAAATTCACTCATCCAGGTCCATCTATGATATACAAAAGCCGTCATTTTTGAGAGCTAGAGATGCTGTTATAAGACCTGAAATTGTGTAAAGTTTTATTGACATTTATTGAACACTTGCTCTTTGCCAGGTATTGTTTCCATCTAACATGTACTGTTAGATGCTGATTTATTCTTTAATAATTTTATTTCACCAATGGGAAAACCAGCCCCCACATAGGGGTTAAATTAAGGTCACACATTAATAAAGAGCAGATTCAGGACCCAGACTCAGTCATCTGACCCCAGGGTACACTCCTTATTATTGGACTTTATTTCTTCACTGGTTCTCAATTTTTTTTTCAGCCAAGACACACGTGACAGACAGTAGTCACATTCTTGACAGACTCTTTGGGCAAAGCCAGGGCTGTGCTGTGTTTCCTTTGGTCTCACTGCCACACCATTATGTTCTTTCCCTTTGAACAATGTGTATGAGCTAATAAACGGGGCAGAGCGCTGTTCATTGAGGATAATCCTGAATCAAGTCTAATTTATTTTCTAAAGGTAAATCCTTTGCAAACTTCAGCTCTCTACCCGTTAACAAGTTATATGTAAAATGCCACACAACTGAGTATTCTGAAACATCTATTGAGAGCCCCTGGCTTAGGAGCTAAACGTAAGCATGGAGCAAGAGAGAATTCATTGACATGGCACTGAAAAGCACAGAGCAGGCAAGCAATACATGGTGGCTGTTGGGTCATTGTATAACCAACAACAGAGTATGCCTGTGCCCAGTTGATAAGATTTTCATAAGGAACTAACGTCTGAAGGGGAAGTGGAAGGGAACTAGATGAGGAAAGGAGAGTTGGGTTCTTCTGATGCTGGCATTAATCTGCACAGCCCATTTCTTCTAAATGGCCCAGCTCCTGTGCTTTTTGAGTGTTTGTGTCTGCTTTGTATGACAGCTCTGTTACACTGTCAGATGTTACGTCTTATAGCACTCTCCCCTCCTCTAATTTGCTGTTTATAATCTGTTCTAAGCCAAGAAAACTAGATTCATTTCAATACAATCAATTCAACATTTTGGGGGCATGGTGTCAGTTACCTAGAAGCAGAAAACCTTGTTAGAATTGTGACAAAACTGGGGCGCCTGGGTGGCTCAGTTGGTTAAGCAACTGCCTTCGGCTCAGGTCATGATCCTGGAGTCCCTGGATCGAGTCCCGCAT